AAGGAACAGCATAAGTCACGTGAGAAAAACCCATCCAAAAAGAAGGAAAAGGGGACGAGATTCCATACCAGACATATTAACATGACATCAGTAAAGACGCGCAGTCTAAATACATAAAACAATTTCACCTATTGGTGGCGCTATTTACAAAGCACATTGTCACGCAGCAAATCAGCTGTACTAGGTTGTATACGATGTGGAATGTGCACCAAGCATAAAAATGTAAGTGCCAGGCAATGTACAGTCTGGCTGGTCACAATCATCCAAAGGTTAAATTTTAAGGTTTTTTTTGTGTGGCAATGCAGAACAGTATTTACGGTTCTCTACTGAGAAGGCTACATCCACTGCTCATTCCGGAAATACAGGAAAACAAGAATCTCATTTGGGCTTGGCGTTATCCAGGTGGCGTTATCCAGGTGGGGTGGGTTAAGGGATTATTATCCGTACAGACACCAAAATGTGTGCCGTACAGATAATCCTTGAATTTATCAGTAACTGCCCATTTTAAGCCGAGTAATTCTAATTTTCTTGAATTGTACTTCTCCATTTTCTTCTTGCTATTTTGAAGGGTGCGACTAGCATATGCTATAACTTTTTCTCAACCTTCTTAGTCTGTGATAAAACAGCACCAAGTCCGGATTGACTAGCGTCAACATCCAAAATGAAAGGCTTTGTGAAGTCAGCAAAGGCTAATATGGGTGTGTTGACAAACCTTGATTTTAGCGTGTCAAATGCCTCTTGACACTCTACAGACCATCGACTACGGAAAAACTTTGGATCATGACCTTGACAAAGTCCTACCAAGGTATGCAATGGGCGACCTAGCTTTGCAAAGTCAGAGATAAAGCGACGATAGTAAGAGGCAAAACCTAAAAACAAAAGTAGTTTCCTAACGGTAGTAGGAATTCCCGCACACACCTTGTCTTTTCACCATCCACTGAAATCCCCTTATCTGTAAGAATGTGAAGAAATTCTGATATTCTTGGAAGCAGAAAAGTATCTTTCTTTGTTTTTGCATTCAACCAGGGATAATCGACACACATTCTAAGAGATTCATCCTTTTTCTTAGCAAGTACAATAGGTGCCGCATACGGGCTCTAGCTTTCTCGTACAAGACCATGATCTAATAAACCCTGAATATGTTGTTTGACCTGTTCATATTGATTAGAAGGAATTCTCCGAGATGTCTGGGCAACCGGCTCAGAATCAGTAGTGTTGATGTGATGCTCTACTGTACTTGTCTCACCCAAGTCAAATTTATGTTTTTCAAAAATGTCCTTGTGTTTGTCCAAAAATTTGCAAACCTCCATCAAGTCTCTATCAGAGCCTCTAAACCCTGTCAAATCTACTGGTACCACAGATCCAGATGAAGATATATGCATCTCTTCTACCCTGGAAATCTGAATGTGATTCACAGACACTTGAAAATTATTCTGAGTATTGTTATCAACTACACCATCTATGTGGTGCAAGACTCCAATACGAGTCTTTGGACACAGGATACACTCAGATGTAGTAATGTTGTCGATCCCAACGGGAAAGGTACTTCCAACTTCAACCAGTGTTGATGCTGTCAACACACCAGCTGGCAAATTGTCACTACTCCTCAATGGTTCTACAATTGCATACCCAGCAAACTTACAAGTCCCCTCCGCTTTAACGGTTACACTGGACTCTGGATTAACAAGAACATTCTGTGGTGATGCGATTCGGACAAAACTAACTTGGTCCTCATTCATTACAAGCTCCTTCATCACAGACAAGATAGTGTTCAAAAGTGAAAGAGGAGGTGTAACTTAGCCCTTACTTCCCTCCGTGTGATCTGCAAGAGGGCGCAGAATATTCATGCCTATAAGTCCTGGCACATATCTCTTGTGTTCTCTATGTTCCATATCAACCGAGTCCTTGACAATTAAAATGCCAACCTGAGGAATGGTTATTTCACCTATCACCACTTCAGTCTCAAAATATCCAGTCTAGGGAATTTCCAGGCCAGTAGCAGAGGTAATTTTCAACCAAAGGGTATCACTGTGTACCTGACTTTCAGAAGGCTTGAAAAGTGAAAGAAAGCATTCCTCGGTAAGTGTGGAGACCATTGACCCTGTCTCTATCAGGCAATTAATATTATTTCCACCAATCTGAACAATCATAGTTGGGCATGTATCAACCAATCAACGATTATTAACAACTGAATCCACTGAGTCCACCATCTGTTCCCTTATCACTGGACTCTTAGTAATAGGGGCAGTTAGTTTCCCACTGGATCTGGAGACTTCTCCTCTACCATCCTCTTTAACTGTTCAATTTGTTCCTGAGCCAGTTTAAGTTGCGATTTGTAACATCTGTCCTGTGTATGACCTGTGACTTTACAGAAGTCGCACTTCATTCTACTTCCGGTTTTGCCTGACTTTGGTCATGCATCTTTGTGTTCATCCTTAATAATTATGTGTTGTTGTACTAAGTTTGTTAGTTCATCTATCTGTTTTGTTGTTGTTGAATTTGCTGTTGCTGTTTTTGAACTATGTCAAAAAGTGCCTGAGTTTCAGCTACTGAACTTGTTCTAGCTGCTTGAACTGAAGCCTTGTGTTTGCTCTCAGTGGGTTCTTCCTCCCAGTCGATGGCTTCCGACCTCAATACAAAGAATCCAATAGCAGGTGCATGTTTTACTTTTTTCCGTAGGTGTTTCCTTAATAAACTATGTGCAACACCATCTGCCAACTGGTCACAAAAAATCTGCTCCCTATGGGCAGCTAGATGGGGAGATTTTCTACAGGCCCTCTCAAAGAGGTCTAAAAGTGCATGTGAAAAATCTCTAATATTTTCTACAACTGTTTGTTTTCTTTCAAAGAAAGCTCTTTGCAACTGAACAGATGATCCTTGATCTCCAAACACCTCCCTAATGATAGCAAAAATATCTTCTATAGACTTATGGGGTCTAAATTTAACCTCCTTGCGAGCGGGTCCACTAAGATGTTGAAAAGTCGACCTTATCCTTTTCAGACAAGGGTGGAGATCTAATTGATGCCTGAACATCACAAATTCAATCTTCTAATTTTAAAGTACAATCTGAGGAACCAGAGTAAGAAGCGAGCTTTTTCTGGCTGGGCATCAAAAGAAAAGCAGGGCTAGCTTTTGATTTAGATTCAAGAGTCGCTGTATTGAGCTTCTCCTGCAACTTTGTAATTTGTGCAGCTAGGTCAGTTTCTGTAACCTTCATACCAGGGGGCCATGTTGGCTTATCTCCAGTGGCCATGTCTAAGAAATCCTGCTGTTTATGTGGAGAGAAATTCAATACACGCGCATTTATGGCTAAAATGACAAACAAAACACACATCAATCTATAACTCATTTAGCATTACCTCAGCGGCAAGTTTCCAGCATAAGCAGATTAAAGATGGAGCAGGATGAGGCATGTGAGGCAAGGACCACAATGGCAGGCCAGTACAAAACCTGCAGATATTAAAAACAGGAAAAAAAACTGCACCGGAAGCAGTATTAAATCTCGACCTGCACTTCTCCATCCTAACTGCTTTCATCTGATACACAGATTCTATTTAATACACAACCTTGTCAATGGAAACAGAGTCCAGACAATATGCTATAGGGAAGCCAACAACAAAGTCAGGGATAATTATAGTAAAAATGGCATCGATTAAGCAAAATCAACAAGCCTGAAGTGCCAATCCAAACTATTTGATGTGAAACTCAAATGTCTGAATTCTAGGCCAAGGCACAATTACTCATACAAAATTTACAGAACTTAATAATTTGATATGTTGTGATATTAAAATACACCGAGATTCAAATTGTCTGATTTAATATGCTCTAACTCAGCTTTCCGGCATCCAACAAAGGTGGTCCAGTGGTGTGGTTCTCAGCAAAGATGGTCCAGTGGTCAGGCTCCAGACAAAGGTGGTCCAGATGGTCGAGTCCAGACAAAGGTGTTCCAGTGGTCCAAATCAAGACAAAGGTGGTCCGGTGAACCAAGTCCAGACAAAGGTGGTCCAGTGGTCCGGGTCAAGACGAAGGTGGTCCGGATGGTCAAGTTCAGACAAAGGTGGTCCAGGTCAAGACGAAGGTGGTCCAGTGAACCAAGTCCAGACAAAGGTGGTCCAGTGATCCGGATCAAGACGAAGGTGGTCCGGTGGTCCAACCTCTTTCACAATACAGTAGTCCCGGGTTCCCAACCAAGAGGTCCTAAGGCTGTCGTTTTGTTAAAATTATTGTACAATCCTGCCGACTACACCATTTTTTGTAACCAGAGTGGCAAGGCTACAAAAAAATGAGTCAGTGACTGGAATCTTTCTTACGAATGATAAAAAGATTTCTTCTCTCCCTGTCACAAGGGTTAATGCAGGTTCACATTTTGTACAATTGGATGCGACTATGTGTATATCAAAAATAAACGACAGTTATATACGTCGGTCATCTATGAGAGATAAAAAAAATCGAAAATCTACATTAGCCTTTCAGCCGTATCCCATCGTGAATATGATTAACAACTTGGCATACATACAGTTCATAAATACTAAGCTGTCAGTGCACATATATGTAGATGTATTAAATGGTTTACACTGATCATACTCAATACATGGCCAATCATATTTATAACCGGCTCTGAAAAAAAGGTGTATAATGTAATTTTTTAAGTAATCTCATTTTACCTTCAATTGGAAAGAGTAACTTAAACGATACATCAATGCAAAGAGTTTATTTAAGGCATTTTAATAAAAAATGTACAATCAAGAGTGTTGAGGATTTCTATTAATTTCCACAGTGCAGGGTTCTTTAAAAGGCCTGTAACTCAAGAGTGGCTCTGGAGACTTAATACCAATTTTCGCAGAGTGGGTCACATTTCCATCTGCAATTTGACCAAGAATAGCTCTAATCAAGAGATAATTTATCCAATTGATGTACATGTATAGACCTTATGCGCATGACGTTACAGGCATTTCCTTATTCCCTTAAGGTAAGCTTGAGTAAACCAATTTTGTGCATTCATTGTAACAAAATTAAAATGACAACAGATAGCCTTCTAAGACACCAACAACGTACAACCCCTATATGTACGTAAGTTCAGTACGATATACTCAGCATTACAGGGTGTTAATGTACCTCCGGATTAAATGAGACCTAAACCTTAAACCTGGTCAATACGTAGGTCACATTATTCAAAATATGCATAACCCAAGTAAATGTCGAGCATTATAATTAGATGTTAACACACTGTTAGTACATGTATGCTAAGTGTGATCATTCCCAAACTTGGGTGATAAAGTATGTAAAAAAGTCTGACAAGTATTTAAGAAAAAGATTGATATCTAAGACATGGTGTGGATGTTGCCTTGCAGAATATCCCCTCACCTAAAAGTAGTATTTCAAGAAGACTGAGCAAACTTCAAATACTGCAAATGTTTACATTTCTCGGAATTGCCCAAATGCTAACTCAGTGCAATGTCTGCATGATATGTCGAACATGGTATCTATTTAACTTAAAATATTAAAAGATTGCAAGTTTGCTGTACTTACCGATCAAAGCAGTCCCTTATCTCACATGCCTCAAGACGACACTCCATCAAATGGGGTTGGATGTATAACGGATTGAAAAGGCCTAATACTATCGTAAGTTGGACATGTTGGACGTGAAGTCCAAAGGAAGAGCATATTTAGATGTTGCTCGGTCTACATGACAAAGGCAAGTGACACCCAAGAATGCACGCATCGCAACAAGGAAACTACCCAAGAGTCCCCCAAATGCAGGACAGCTATTGTTTGGAAAATACGGCTATGGTGTGACAATAAGTCACCTGAAAATACCAGTTGCAAATTTATCCAAGATATCCAGCTTCGAACAAAGAATATTATTGTTAACCGGTACCCATGGTACTGAGACGCCGGTGTCGCACGAAATCACTGCGCATGCCAAATCACCAGTCATTCACACCCTTATTTCCATTAAAGAACAGCGTGAGTCACGTGAGAAAAACCCATCCAAAAAAAAGAGGGAAAAGGGGGCGGACATATTAACATGACATCAGTAAAGACGCACAGTCTAAATACATAAAACAATTTCACCTATCGGTGACGCTATTTACAAAGCGCATTGTCACGCAGCAAATCAGCTGTACCAGGTTGCAAACAATGTGGAATGTGCACCAAGCTTAAAAATGTAAGTGCCAGGCAGTGTAAAGTCTGGCTGGTCACAACAAGAAAAAATTTGAATTCTACATTCACCATTCAATTTTGATTTCCAAAGTGCATGGTAAATGTATCCATACAATCCCTAAATTTGATGAAATCTACAATTCAATACCAACATAAGAGAATAAAAGAACATGCAAGGATAAAATGATTAACAAATACAACCCCAAAACACACACAAAGTTGACAATCATGATTATGTTGAAAGTTGTTTAAAACTGTAACAAGGTTTTGAACAATTTCAAAATCACACCGTCATCTTTCCGTGTTATAATAATAAATATAGACTACATGACTCATAGGGATACTTCATGCAACATTACACCAAATTGATAGTCATCAATAGGGTATTGATGAGAACCTATGAATAGATGTTGCATTAAGTTATTGAACGACAAATCTATCAGAGGTTTCATTGGGAATAATGGTAATGAACTCCATGTATACTATTGGTGCATAGACAGTTTTTTACTTCCTCAAATCAACTCTGAAACTGTTTCCATGCTATTCATCTGGCATTTGTCTTCATGGTTTTAATTGGCTGCCAGAAATCTACAAATGCTCGAAGGCCCTCCACCCCTTTTCCAATGATCAGTGAAAATGTAATAGACTCTCACTTCTCCAAAACTGACTGAAGATCTTACTTTGCAATAAACAGACAGTTGGCATTCATCATTATCTTTTTCTCAGAGTAGATATGCTCTTGTTGCCTTGTCTCCACGATGTGGTACTTCTTCAGACACTTCAGGGCAAATGTTTTCTTGTCTCCAGCAAGTCCAACCTGCAAATTCCATATCAACAGTTGGTATATAGTCTTTATACTCTATTGACATACAGATTTTAAAAATTGTCAAGCTCTTCTCAGTGCAAGCATGTATGACACGAGTAGCAAAAGACCTTTATTTCACATGTCTCTGCAGTACAGATGGGCTAACATTTGAATTCCTTTTTACTTTAATTATGATAAATTCAGCAAAATACATGCATACATACAACGTATTATCAGCTACCGTCATTGATGTAAATTCCTCATTCATCAGTTGGGTCGGCTGAAGGAGGATTATCAGTTCATCCTCAGGTCCCAAATCCCTTAAAATCAAATTTCCTACCAGGAAGTGCCATGTTCTAATCCAATATCTATTCCATTGACATCCTCCCCGACAAGTTCTGTTTAGCTGTATATGACCTATGGACTGCTAACAGTGCTGAATCAAGCTACCTTGTCAGTCTTGTTGGGTGTAGCTGTTCATTGTTTCTACATCTTGGATACTGCACTGACTTGTTCAAGGTATGGATGATTTAGCTCCGTTGTAGTGTGTATAAATGTATGCACTACAACAAATTGTTTTGCAAAGGTAGGTATAAGCCCTGCCACTGGTCAAGTCAGCAAGCCTCACTCCAGCAGACCAACTCCTATTGACCCCCTCCCCAGACAAATTCTCTGTTTAGCCATACAGTGGATAAGAGGGGGTAGCATCCCCTCCCCCTGTTCAGTCACAAACTAAATGGAATTACCAGTGAAATAACTGAAAATGGGTAGGCCTACCCAAAACAAAAAAAAACAAGAAAACAATCCTGGACGTGGATTGCACCGTCCATAAATAAAACGATTACAGATATTAAATTTTCTTGGATTCTCTTAGCCGACCATCCCTTCAGTACACCCCTCACCCCCCCCATCCTGAAAGCTAAATACGTCCCTGCCATTTACCCCTATGCTAACAGTGCTGAATCAAGATCTAATTACTGAAACACCAAATGGCAACATACAGCCAGAAGCAGTTTTATGGTTACCCTGCCCTCTTGCTGACAGATCAAAGCAAAACCGGTTTCGTTCATTATGCCTTAGTATTTCGCGTGAAAATCAGCCAATCTGTACAAATTTGTTTCATACTTATTTACTTTGATTCTCATTCTAGGCAAGCTAGCACATTAATTTCTCAAGAATAAAATCATGATTTCCCCTGTACTTCAGTTTCTGGTTACCAATAATTTGTCCCAGTTTTGGCTTACAGGTTTGTTTTTTGTTTATGATGGACTGATCTTATTTGGCGCAACATATTAGAAATACACACGCTGACATGAAGTGACCAATAAACCCTTTTAGGGTCTCCAGCCATCTTATAGGCTCTCAAAATATTTCTTACTCCAGATGCTCCATGTTACCATCTTACAGACTCAAGGAATACACTTACTAGAATTCAAGGAATACATTTACAAGAATTTTTGAAATGTGGCGAAACAACTAGCATAGTTTCAAACATTCAATATGCAAACATTACAAGCCATCAGAGAGAAAATGAGAAGGGGGTGTTCGATGTGCCCCTTGTTAGCAACCTTTAAATTGGCTCTTAGAGAAATGTAACGACAGTCTTCCTGATATTAGATTGTCCCTTCTAAGTCACTTGGATCATTGCCCTGGGCCTGATACTTGATTTTACACTGAGGCATGTACAAACATTTTGTCAACTTGGAATGTGCCAGTGGCATGTAATTTTTTAAACATTCTGGAACGGTCATGTCTGAAACAAGCACTGTTGTCTAGAGCTATGGCTATTCACTGTGGTACGCTAATGGTAAGGATCAAATGCCCTGATATAGCCAAATTTTGACATTGCCAATAGTCATTAGTATTGTGTAGCCCCCTTTATTCTGCTGAATTCTCACCAATTCCACTCTACCAAAGCCACCAATTCCAAGCGTGGCAATGATGTCGAGATCATCCAACTCAATGTTGCTGAACTTGTCTCGAAGGCTCTGCCTTTGTGTATCTGGCTCAGAGGAGTTGCTTGATCTTAAAAAGAAAAGGTACAAACTCATGCAAATGTTGAGAACAATGAGTCATGTTTTATTACTCGGAGAAAGCAAAACATATTAATGTTATGGAACTGATTTTGTCAGTAATTTCTTAACAACAGGGATGAGATCCGCAATATATGGCAAAAATTCAGACGGCAAACTTATCAAAGTAATAAAAGACAGGATTAATCGGGTGTGGGGTCACATATTTTCACGTAGGAAACCTCTAGTTAAAGTTCTCTGCAGAGTACTTTTTGCTTTCCCACTCCGTAGAATTGGCCCAATTCATCAGTCCTTCATACATATACGTACACCACTGATTTTTTAACCTTTTCTATTTATTTCACAAAAACTTGGTTCTTGATGATTGAGTGATTTCATTCAGACTTGTAACTTTCCTTGCATAACAAAAATCGATTGATGTAGAACTCAAACTGCCAACACCTGAAAACTACCTTCACTTTAAATTATCAGGCCTATGTCCCGAGTGTCATAAGTTCCATTAAAAACATGCAGATACCATTCATATTGTAATGTTTTCAAGGAATATGCATCATGGAAAAGAATATGCAAGTGTATTGCAGCAAAAACAATAATTTGATATTAGAATAATCATTGGAGTATTTACACCTACCAAAGAGGGTTGAGAAAGAAAAAATACAAACTGTGCTTTTAATCATACAAGATAAATGTCCAGAAATGCATAATTTTTCCTCTATGGCTTAAACTGGGAATAAACACTGGTGAGTGCCAACTGCAGTGCTTTCAGGGCCTATCACCTACAAATCCTTCACTAACCAATTTCAGGCAACAGATTTTCTTAAACATTAATGCAGTGGGACGCCACAAGGAGGCCCGGTCCCATTGTGAAACGGAACGAGCACCGGCACAGTAAGTAGTAAGAAAACGAGGGGGTTCCGGATCAATCCAAACCTTCCTAACCTCATTGTCCCCTAATTCCTAAAAAATCCAAAAAACCAAAGCTCGGCAATATTGAAAATCTTCGTAACCCTTCGACCTTATTTCAAAAATTAAAAAAAGTCACCCGACAATTTAAAAAAACCAAAACCAAACTCGATTTTAAAAAGACCAACGTTCAATGTTGCCGAGCCTCGATTTCCGATTACTGCGAAAATTGGGTGATGAGGTTAGGAGGGGGTCAGCTCACTTCCAGTACCCTCCGTTGCCTTACTACTCTCTACCGGGTGACAAAACGGGAAAAACCTCATTCTCCCATCGCGGAAGAATGAGGTGCCAATAAAATTCAATTTGAATTATAAAACCCTATATATAAATAGAGACAATGAATACCGAAACAAAGTCACAGCGACGCCCTGTCTTTTCAGGCTTGAGACGATTTTAAAAATCATTTTTATCCAATTTTGTCAACAACATAACATTCCATTACCACCTGTTAAACGCAAACACACCAAGTCCGAATTAATACAAGCAATTCGAGCAAGTCAACAACAGTTTAAAATCTTCCACGACAGTCGTATCACCAGCTTTTAAAGTTAGCACAAGACAAGAACATTTCCTTTACAGCCGCCGGCACCAAGGGCAATGCATTACCTGATCACCGCGATTAAGGCTTATGTCAAACCGAAATTAATGGAAGAGGTAAACATTCAAATGACGAGAAGATTTAAAGGCAGCTACCGAAATTGGAAATTGATACCTACTTTCTTTGACGACGATTTGATTCACTTTTTTTTAATTTTACGCCAATATATCGAGGACAAAGCGTTGACCGAATTGAAAGAGTTAAACTCTTACAAGTTAAAAAGTACTCATAAACATCAGCAAACAGACTGCTCGTCCATGATGCTGTATACAATCAAACAGTAAGAAAAGAGTGTGCAGTGGCCCTGTTAATGCTGATAACTAACCTCATCCACTCCTTGCTTAAAAAGACTAATTCACGGCAGCAATCTTTAGGGAATCATCCTGGGACCCTCCCATTAGCAAAGGGATAAAATCAACCAATTATTCCTTAAACCTTGCTTGCACAGACCGGTTTCTCGTATTTTCTTGGCCATAAAAAACACTTCTTGTAAATCTGGGGAACAGTCCGGAGAAAACATAATTCATGGTGGCGGCCGTACTCCACTCCACCAGACTTAGACGTAGAGGTGACATGTATGACTACGCCCCTTCCCCATACACATAACAAGTATGTGTCGAGAAGTCATCAAATGTTATAGTCAAGATATTTCAATATTTTATCAGTCAAAACAAAAGCGGAAAAGCCTCTGCATGTTGCAACAAGCAGATAGCTCTGTTTTTTGGATTTTTCGCAATTTTGCGAAAAAGGCATTACTTTCGTTTTTTTCTTCTTCTGTTCAAACCCAAGGCGCACTCTTGAAAGCACTATACCTCGTTAAGTACCTGTGGGATTACAAACGTCGGCAGGTGAGAGGGTGGACAAAGGACTGCACTATGGAATTCCATATCTGCCGTCGCCCGTAGTCCGTCTGCGTCGTCTGTCGCGTGTTACCTTTCTCAAAATTCAACCAAGTGTTTTATAGGGAAAATATTTTCCGTTTAGGGAAACTTATCTGCAGTGCAATTCACTCTTTCCTACTGTAAAAATTGAATGGCCAATGAGCACAGGAAGCCCAACATGTCAGCACTATTTATAGGGCTATCAAAGTTTACTATTTAGAAGTCTTCTGTGTGCCTACATGTAACTCAAGTTATGTCTAATTTGGAGAACTGAGCAGATTTCATCATGCCTGCCCTCAAAACAATGTTGAATGAGTTCATCTCTTGTAAAAGACATTAAAGAATCAAACATGCTAATTAATTATATACATTAAATTCAAAGTTACTCTTGTATTTCCGGGGAATGATCTGCTTGGATTTCGTGGAAGGATAGACGGGCATGGCGGATCGATCATACAAGTATGTGAAAAGATGAAGGGTCAAAGTGAAAAATTGCACTGCGCAAGTGTGACCCCCCCCAAAAAATGCAACGGGCGATGACACACGATGGGTGACGCACAACCCGCGACGCACAACGGTAGATATGGAATTCCATACTGCACAGCCCATTTTCAACTTAAAAAGTCACTTGCCGGTCAGGTATACAGGTCGCCGAAAACAAGCCAGGCGCCAGTCATCTTCAAGCTCAGCGACAATGGAGAACAGGCAATGTGAATAAGCAGAGGATGCTGTTAGGAGTTCTTAGTCATGATTCTGCACGCAGGTGGCTGTGGGGTGATGGTTGTCCATTGTAGATAGGGGTAAGCACAAACAGAGACAGAGCAGCCTCTCCCAGGGACAGCACTGCTTTCCCAACAAGAACGCCTACCTCATGACACACCTGGCAGGAAACCGCGCCTGCGTGGGCATCTGACCAAGTGGTCGACATGCCAGAAAGAAGTTGAGGAAGCCCCTAATTTGGGGGCATGGAATGTACGGACCTGCTAGACAATGGAAACAGACCTAACTGACGCACTGCGCTCATGGCCAGGATACTGGGCCAGCACCAGGTTGACATGGTAGCCTGGGTTAAACCATATTTGCGGAAGAAACGCAGCTTGAGGAAGTTGGTGGAGGCTATACCTTTTAATGCATCAGGAAGCCTGAAGACACCCCAAGGACCTATGTCGGAGTCGCTATTCGCACCAAGTTTTCTAGGCAGCTTGATAGCCTATAACCCGTGGGATCAATGATCCTGCATCTCAAGCACACATGGGACTGCTCTGCCACCGTCATCAGAGTGTATGCTCTTACCATGACAAACCCTGACCACATCAAGGAAGCCTTCTATGAGAACTCGACTGGCTCTCTCAGAAGTCAGTAGCAAGGACAAGCTCATAAACGTTGGAGATTTTAATGCACGAGTTCAAGTCAATCGACTTGAACTCCTGGCTGAACGTCTTAGGACACCATGGGACTAGAAAGTGTAACTCAACTGAGTGTTGTTGTTAACGCTGCATGAGGTCTCAGCACAAGCTGTTCATCACCAACATGATCTTCCAGCAAGCTGATAAGTTCAAGAATACATGGATGCATCCTCGATCAAAGCAGTGGCGCATGCTGAATTACGCTATAGTACGATAGAGACACCGACGTGATGTTTACGTAACACGCTGTATGAGAGGAGAGGGCAAAGGAGGAAAGAAACAGAGTTACCCTTCTGTGGATTCATTTCCTTGCAGCATCTGTGGCCAGTCGTGTGCATCACCAATTGGTCTTCATTCTCACGCGAAGTCCCACGTCGGTAATTAGAATGTCCTGTCTGCCTACTCATCTGTCACATCGACAGGAAACTCCATCATTTCAAAGATAAATTTAAAACACTACAACAATTGAAACACTTGAAAAGTAAGTTAGATATAGGGGAAAAACTATTGATCGTGATGTCCTGTGTTTTTGGTTTTGTGTGTGTTTTCTTTTTTGTAGGGGATCTAGCATCTCTAACAAACTGGTTTACTAAAGAAACACAAGATTTTAATTTATATAACAGGCCTTGAAAACACGGGATTCATAAAGCACTGGGGGTCTGTCGACTGGTTGAATTTCAAGATATTTACACCAAATTCCGATCGATCGAGTGATCAGTCGTTAGGTCAGTTAGTTGAAGAGCAGATGAGAAGAAACAACAGCATAAGTGTTTTTATATAAACAGCAGTGGCGTTCGCAGCAGAAAAAGTGATCAGAGCATACTCATGTTCCTCCAGCACAGCTGGGAGTGTGAACAGAAGTTTAATAACCCGCAGGTTTCCGTGATGGTCAGAGTGAAAAGAGTAGGCCTACTACATGCGAACGGACACAGTGCTTCAATGTCCCCCATACACTGCACGATGATTGGCGCATAGTAGCACCGCAGCTATCCACCTTCGTACCCAAGATACAAAACTTACAACACAATAGACACAACACGTCAAATGTAAGAAAGGTCACCGTTATCAACAATTTTTGGGGTCCAGCAACATCACTAAAGCACTCAACGCGTTCATGTTACATGCACTTCTAGCATACCACGTGATCGATTCGCGACCAATAAAGATTTACTATCTCTGACCTTGGTATAACAACTTTTTTGTAGCGCGGCAATATCGCCAATGGGCTCGATTGTAAATGATGCATGCAGGCTTGTGGTATATCATGTGATCAATTTGCGACCAATAAAACTTCAATATCTATGACCACAGTATAACAAAGGTTCTTGGAGCACAGCCGCGCCGCACAAGGCGATGAAGTGGAACCAACGCAACTGCTCCTCGCACTAGAGAATGGAGCAGGGTTGGTGGGACTGCGCTGCACATGAGTTAATGGAGCACAGCTGCTCTGCACGCAAGTGACTGGAGCAGAAAACTCAAGGAGCCGCCCTGCTCAGCTCTGTTTAGTGGGGGAGGGGAGCCCAAGGCATATCACCGGCCTTTACTCCAGTATGAGACCGAGCTGACTCCTGTCGCTATGGGACATGCTGCACGCGACCAACAGGGGGGTTTGGCACCACCACAGGCAGCGAGGAGCCGAAAAACATAATCATTTGGACAAAAGAAACCGGAGGCCGATGATGCCCTCTGATAAATATTAAAGAAGCTTCTCTTCTGACTCCCTGATCCACTTTTACAGTGTTGCGGCAGTCAATCGTTGGGGGTATTGGCTGAGAAGGCAATGTTCGTGTCATTTCACCTGAGGGGCGAGGCATAGTGGATTTATAGATGCAGTTGTTGAGCTGTTTCAGATAATACAAGTTCAAGGTCGAAGTTGCGTAGTCTGTGAGTTGTCTGATAATAAAGTGTAATTCTACAAAAAAAAGGGGGCAAGAAATTCACCAAAAGCATTATTAATTGGAAGAAGAGACCAAATGAGTAAAAGTAAAAATGAGGCTCAGTTTGAAGTTAAATTTGATTAATAAAATTATATTTTCTGCACGAAAAAAAATCCAAACCACAACGGCATAGTCCAAACTGTCGGCTGCCATTTTGCATAGTCAACTGAAGATGGTTTTAGACTTACATTGATTTGAGGTGGAAATGTGGTTAAAAAGCACGATCGATGAAGTTTTCTTACTCTGTGGTAGGTTTAATCTATAACGCCATGAAAACGTTTGAGATTATCCACCAAAGCAAAAAACAAAACAAAGAAAACAAAACATACGGTTGCAAATATATACTTATTTGCTTACTTCACCAAAAAATAACTGTTTTGCGGACAAAACCCTTTTCCTCATGGTCTGAAAAGATAAATGGAGACTCTATGGACACAAGGCATCGTTAATGCATTCTGGCAATTCACGAGCAATCAAGGAAATGAAAAAAAATACACGTTAGGAAAGAAACACTGTGGTTCACAGTGTCTTACGTACACAGTCCATTCTCTCACAGTCTGAATAGATAAACGGAGCACTCAGGTAATTTCATGTTGGTTTACTATTAAAGGGCAAGAACACCTGTTTTTTGGCAGATTGGCCCTGCGTGTTCATCGCTCGCTCATTAAAAATGTAGTCCATGGGTTTTTCTCAAGACAAATTACAAGATCTTTGTTTTGACCGTTGAAAACGAATCCCTTTTTTCGATTTTTCTGGAAAGCAGTTAACCCAAAACATAAAGTAGGCATGGGGAATGAAAGCTACAGTAAATTTCATACCCTAAATCAGCCGGTCATGTGAAATGAAAACAAAATAACCAATGGTGTACTCTACTTTAAAATGATTGAAAACGAACCCCTTTTTTCAATTTTTCTGGAAAGCAGTTAACCCAAAACATAAAGTAGGCATGGGGAATGAAAGCTACAGTAAATTTCATACCCTAAATCAGCCGGTCATGTGAAATGAAAACAAAATAACCAATGGTGTACTCTACTTTAAAATGATTAGTGTAACAATAACACATCATTAAGTCAAAATATAACAATGATTATAATATTAAAATTATAGATGTGCTTTGCTCAATCATCTATACAAAAGGTGATCCACTTTGGTTGCTATGGCAACTGCCGCTCAGATGGCATGTAAAGAAACTCACTACTGGAGGTTGTAGCTATCTAACCTTGTTCTTGAATTCTTGCATCTGTAGAATTATCATGCTTGGGGTGTGAGTTCATTCAGTTAGGACTGAATAACCAAGTTTTATGAACTATCCCAGAGATCTAACTGGAGGTGTCACAACCTTAGAGGCATTTCTGTCAAATCCTAGCTTGGAATTTTTACCGTTGGTGTTGTTCCTGTCTTAATATGTCAGTTTATGCCAGTAACGGGTAAAATATTAACCACCCCCCCCCAAAAAAAAGGCTTCAAACATATCTTTCAGGTCATTTGGAATTTCGGAGTTGTGCCACAATTGGTGATTTATCAAACCAACTGGGAAAGAAAATGAATAATTTTGTGCATTGTTAGAAAAAGGACACAAAGGCAACAAAAACAGCAAGAACTGACCACACGAAACTTGAGTACCAATGCTCACACCATTAAATCATGCAGGCTTGAACCAGAGCAGCAACTCGGTATGCCTCTTTTTGTCTTGAGAGAGATTTCTGAACCAGTTTGGTGTGCTTTATGATTTGCTATCATTCTGCCGGTAGATTAATGACAAAACCATCAGCAAGAGGAAAATGAGCAACAGATTAGGGCAAGAAGAGTTTTGTCTTTTCTGAACAACTAACCATATTCAATATAACTGAATTTCAAAATATGCTGATTAAAATTTATCCCACAGGGTAAAACTGTATAAAAGTGATATACCTTGTTGCACCCCTCTCCTGGTCACCGTAGTCCTTGTTTTGCAGTTCCTGGAGGTTACCGATTAGTTCATTGAAAACTCTGTAATAAAGTGTAACATATTGCAAGTTATGCTCTGATAATGTAGCTTCAAAAATTAAAAGCTTGAAATTAAAAAAGTAAAGAATACACTCTTCAAGCAAGTGCTTCTCAGTGACTAATGAAAGACTTCAGTCAAAATGATATGTATAGCTAGCTTTGAACATCAAGAAGCGGGTGTGATTCTCACATCTCCATTTTAATATTTAATCTACTTTTGCCATTTTATACTGAATTCACATGTATCTAGCCAATTACATCAGTGCACACTGCATGGAGCTTTAAGCCTTGAAATATGAGTTTGAGCTGGAATATATTGTCAAAACAGTATTGATTTCATTAAAATATGTATTGAAGTAAGAAATGTTATTACATCTAGCATTTTTCTGTGCACACTTACATCCGATCTATAACAAGGACCTGACACCCGCCTTTTCCTGCTATGACATTGGCTGTCCGTACGTCTTCACTAAGAGGAACACAAATATACATTTTAAGTATAACCCCCCTTGGTGTTTTTAATACAAACCTTTCTGAATCTTTTAAAATAATTTGTTTTGTAAAAAGCCATTTTTATGTTTGTTACCTTTGCAGAAATAGAAAACAACATCACTTTAAGATCAGTATTATAGTCAATTCCTTTCTAAACATTATACCACGGGCCCATTTGAATTTTCACTGGAAAATGAAATGTTCGCTTCCTGCCGATCTGAACCCTGGATATGGCACTGCACAGATTATTTTCTGTAATTTGACTTGAGGCAAGTTTAAAAAAAAAGCATTTTTACCCCCATCCTCCAAAATTGGAGGGAGGTTTCTCTTGCCTCTCATGTTTACCTGAGGAGGGCTTTCTCTCCGAAATAATCTCCTCTGCCTAATTGTCGGACCTCCTGTGGCTCATCCAGACCAGTAAGAGACTGAGTAATTGTCACCTTGAAATTTAAATCAAATAATGATATTCAAAGCATGTTAGAAGGTCGAGAGTTGTGTTTTTGTCGGGACTGGCTTGTTTTTGTTATTGGAAAACTTCTCAAAAATCTCTGGATGGATTGATGTACATGTAGTTGAATACTTTTTCTCAGCTAATCTGAAGATGTTTGCAAGTGGGCATTAGAACACTATATTTTATAGCACGAATGCATGACACTGTACCTGGCATTAGGCATTTGACACACCATTTTGACACCCCCCGTCTAAGCTCCATGTTAAGTTTCCGCCTGACCTACTAAAGTTTTTTTTTTTTTGTAACTCCGCAACGTCCTCAAATTTGACGAACCTGGCATTGCTTCATCAAGCATTGTTTGTCAGCCATGAGTTTTGTTTAAGATACCCCCATGATGTGAAAACAAAGAGGAGCGTTTTGAATATGATAATGGGATAGGAGGTGGTAACTCAAGTTTAGTGTAAATAAGAACAAAATCTGACTGCCCCAGAGTGAGGATTGACTTGAGGATAAATTTCTGGTCTGCTTGATCACCATCAATTTCAAAAACCCCATCAAAGGGTTCATATTGGTACTTCGGTATAAACAATCTCCCCCTCGGCCAGATTGCTGTTCTGATCACAACCCACACCAAGCAGAACAAATCCATTTTTTTATCTAATTTTTGTCGACAATGTCTGTATATTAGTTGTCACTGCAGCAGCCTGTGCTGTGAATATTTTACGTTGTTTTTATTCTCATGTTAATCATCAACAACATGTAGATAGGTATTCTAACTGTTTAGAATCCTGATTCAAGACTTTTATTATTTCATGAAAGAAGAAATTGTAAACCTTTCTTTTTAGTAAGTGAAAGAGCCTGTCAACCTCCTTCCTAGAGTCACTACGTGTAAGTGGATGCGCTGGTGCACGCACTGTGAGTCTAAGGGTGCACCCTGGTAAATA